CTTTCAGGAAGTACAGAGGAAAGACACGTTTTCAAAAGCACCTTACAGAAGGTTGTGGACAAAGCTAGACTTTAAAGGATAAGTTCTAGCCACAGTAACTGAATGGCAGAGCTCACCATGTGCTTGAAATGCGTCACTCAGAAAATTTTAGTCAGAGTAGAGGAGGGGATTTATTTTAGAAAATGAAAATGAAAACCTATATAAGGTAGGGAAAAAAGTATGCAAACATGCTTTGGAAGAAATTGAAAGTTGGACACTAAAGACATAACTTGATGGGATAGGAATATTTAATGGGAAAATTTAACAACAGAACTTAGAAAGTTGTACTATTAAAAAAAGTAGGGTATGAAGCAATAGAAACCTGACCAAGGATTCATTTAACAAGTATTCATTAAGAGTCTACTAGTTAATACTTACAAAACACTGCCCTACCAATTCATATAATGTAGGAAGGATAGTTATAATAGGTAATTATGTGTATATTTATACTTATTTTTCTTTATTATACACATATATTTGTACATTTATATAAAATGCCACGTACAAATAAACCCATATGAAGGAAAAATGGAGTAAGTTAAAGTGATAGAGATTTATGGGGCTTCTGTTTTAGAAGGGGTATCATATCAGGAAGTTCTCTTGGCTGAAGTCACATTAGCATTAGAGCAGAGAATTGGGTTTGGGGAGAGCAACCTATATAAATATACTAGAGGCCCCATGCACAAAATTCACTCAGAAGTGGGGCTCTTAGGCCTGGCCGTCAAGCAGGGCCAATCGGGGCCAGGCCGATCAGGGTTGGGCCGGAAAGGAGGTGTCGGGCCAGAGGAGGTGACAGTCTTTTTACCTGGAGTGTGTATTCTAGAATAGACTTGGGAATGTTCTATTTTTTTTTCTTGTCCAACATTAATTAGGTCTTCACTTCCTCATATATAACTAGTTCTTTAGTTCCATAATTTATTTATTTCTGATGAGAACATACAATGTGCAGTGTTAACATGATGGGCTCAGCATGTCTCTGTTTATTTTAGCCCATTTTTTATAGCATTTCATGTATCTCCTAGACTTTTGACCCCTACACTTTGTATCATCATAGTTGACAATATATTTGTCACTTATTCAAATGTAAACTGTACTTTACATATGATAACTTAAACTAAATCAAGCCAGAGACTTAATCTCACTTTTCATAGTTAAATGATAATATTGTGCTGTCTGTATGAGATTTTTGTGATGTATATTGCACATGACAGTGAATTAATATTCTTGCTTTTTATTCCCCAAATATGTATTTCAAAATTATGTTTTAAAGAAAAATAAAAGTTTACAACTATTTCAATTTGGTTTATTTCAGAGACAAGATCCTGCTTCCTGGAATCAAACTTTTTCAGAAATGTCAAAGAATGTTCTAAATATAAGATACACTTTGTTGCCATACTTCTATACACAGATGCATGAAATTCATGCTCATGGTGGCACTGTCATCCGACCGCTTTTGCATGAGTAAGTGCAAATATTTTTCCTACCACAGACAGATAGCTTCCAATTAATTTACTCAATAATATCTTTTAGTACAACATACAATATATTTTTAAAGGTTATGAAGCATTTTATATTCCTCCTACCACCAGAACATTTTAATTTTTTAAAAAGAATACCCATTTAAAAATATGTTAAATATGTTTGCATTGTTTTCAGAGAGAGAGAGGAAGGAAAAGGATGAGAGAGAAACATTGATGACAGAAAAGGACCAATTGGCTGCCTCCTGCATGCCCCCTCCTGGGAATCAAGCCACCAACTCAGGCATGTGCCCTGACCTGAAATTGAACCAGGCGACCTCTTGGTGCATGGGACAATGCTCAACCAACTGAGCTATACTGGTCAGGGCCAATATATAATATTTTGAATTTGAAACTTTTTCATTATTATTTTAGTGTACATTTTGGATAAACAAACATTTTCATAAATAAATCTTCTGATTCATAGACTTATCTATGCCATTAAAATGAAACAAAGTAGCTATTAAAATGTAATTATTCTTCCTAAGAATTACTATTGTATTCCAGATGTTATTCTAGATTACTTATATACCTTATTACATTGAGTATTTTAAAAAAGTTTTCTACATTAAGTAATATTGTTTCTGCATTATGATTAAATTCATTGCTATTTACAGTAGTTAAGCAAATCATACACATATCTATATATATAAAAGCCTAAACAACTGACCGACTGGCCGACCGGCCGACAGTCCAGTAGTTATGACACATACTGACCACCAGGGGGCAGAGGCTCAACGTCAGAGTGGAAACCACAGGCATGGAAAATGGAACAGACTGATGAATATCAGAGGGAAGTGGGGATAGAGGAGAGCAGGAAGAGATTAACCAAAGATCTTATATGCATACTAGAAGCCTGGTGCACGAATCCATGCACCGGTGGGGTCCCTCAGCCAGGCCTGTGGGGATCGGGTCGAAACTGGCACTCCGACATCCCCCAAGGGGCCCCAGATGGCAAGAGGGCACAGGCCAGGCCAAGGGACCCCACCGGTGCGTGAATCTGTGCACCAGGCCTCTAGTTAATTCATAAGTGAAAAAGAAGATTACAGTCCCCTAGTAGGTGTGCTAATGGGGTACCTTAGAATAGTTTTAACATGCTCCTTAGAAAATTTATTTGGATTCACTTTTAAAGATCAAACTGATATATGGCTAAATCTTGAAATTTTATTCTAAAATTTTAGTCTATTCTATTTTTGACAAATATAAGCTGATTCTTATTGTAGATGTTACAAAAAACAAAATACACATTCAACAAAAATACAAAGAAACCCTTGAAATAATCATAAAATAATCATAAAATAGCTACCTGTGTACCCTATATTATCAGAGTAATTGAAAAAGGCATTTTGTTATATTGTATTATTGATAAACCAATGAAAATTACACAGCATAAACATTTACTCAAATCGAACAGTTGTAACTATTGTCATCTCCCTAGTAACTTCTCAGAATCAAGTATCAGCTGTGGACTTAGTTCCAATCAGAAACATTATTATTAACGATTCAAACTCTTGTCCTATTGAAAACACCTGGGCGTTTGCTTCCATTTGAAATTCACGGAAGAGTAAACCCAGAAATCTGCCTTGGCATTTATCTGTTTGTAATAGAACAAAACATAACAGAAATAAAAGAACAAACCTACAAACAAAATTATACCTCCATTTTATTAGAGGAAAATTGTGGATATTTAATAGTGTCTATTCTCAAGATTTTATTCTTTCCAGCAATTTATATCTCAAATTCAGAAATCTAGTAAAATATATAGGGACCTATAAGTACATACACATCCCCTATCCATCGGATTCTAATCGAAATACAATAAGCAAACTCTTTAAAATTACCAAATCAACACGCTTTTTTCAATACCCTTTTTTCACAGGGTATTTATAATTTTGTTTTCTAGTTTGTTAATGTTCTATTTCTACTTAATATTTTGTACCTTCATGAGTTATCTTCAAATTAAACTTCTCACACAGTGGTCTTATGAATTCAGTCACAATCCTCTCCATTTCGTCAGGAGGTTTTGTCATGGTCTAGATTTACTTGTAAAGTATTGTAGCATTGCACATTGAATTCCAAGTCATAGCGTTATTTTTGCTTTTTAATCCACACAAGCCCACACTGCAAAATGTGATTTGAATGCTTATTTAATGGTATCCAGAAGAGATAAAGTTCTTTGATTAAACTATCTATAAATATTTTGTCAAGGTTCTATAAAGAGAAGACTACCTGGGACATATTCAAGCAGTTCCTGTGGGGCCCAGCATTTATGGTTACCCCTGTATTGGAACCTGTAAGTCCTACCACATATTTTTGTTCATAAAATATTTTTCCTAATGGATATATTTTTAAATAACTTTTTTTTTTAAATTCCAGTATCAGACCGTTGTAAGAGGTTATGTCCCTAACGCTCGGTGGTTTGATTACCATACGGTAAGTAATTAAAGAATTCTGGGGAATTTACTACACAGAAATGGGTTTAAGTTTGATCCTGATCTTTACATTAATGATGTATTTAATGAAATACACTTAAAATGAGTAAGGTATGTTTTGCTAATTAGATCTGAATCAAATGAACACACAGTGAAAGAGAATTATTTTATTCTGCCATAGTTGATTATGTAGTCATTGATTTATTTTACCAAATAAACACGGGAAGTACATATTGTACATCAAAAGGTCATTGCCCTTTATTGGCTGTGCAAAATGATGATTACAGGTAATGCAGGCCTTCCAGGAATAATGTATGTGGCAGTCAGGAATAGTTTTTGTGACCTTTCAAAAATCCGTATGTTGCCCTAGCCAGTTTGGTTCAGTGGATAGAGTGTCTGCCTGGGGACTGAAGGTTTGATTCCGGTCAAGGACCCATGCCTGGGTTGCAGCCTCCTCCCTAGTAAGGATCTTGTAGGAAGCAGCCAATCAGTGATTCTCTCTCATCATTGATGCTTCTATCTCTCCCTCCCTCTCCCTTTCTCTCTGAAATCAATATAAATATATGTTTGAAAAACCCATACATTTTCTGCATGTGAGCATGACAAAAATAAGTATTTGTAAATTATTTTCAAAGCTACCATGAAACCAAGGTCTGAGTATATGCTTTAAAGAACATGATCTTCTAAGTAAATGTCTGTGTCTTTATTTTAAATTGGAAAGTGTGTCATTTGATTTTATAAATATGCCCCCTCACGTTGCAATCCTATATAATAATAATAAAAGGCTAATATGCAAATTGACCAAACAGCGGAACCATGGGTCGCTGTGATGTGCACTGACCACCATGGTGTAGATGCTCAATGCAGGAGCTTCCCCCTGGTGGTCAGTGCGCTCCCACAGGGATGTCTGTGTCTTTATTTTAATTTGGAAAGTGTGTCATTTGATTTTATAAATGTGCCCCCTCACGTTGCAATCCTATATAATAAAAGGCTAATATGCAAATTGACCAAACAGCGGAACCATGGGTCGCTGTGATGTGCACTGACCACCATGGTGTAGATGCTCAATGCAGGAGCTGCCCCCTGGTGGTCAGTGTGCTCCCACTGGGGGAGCGCCTCTCAGCCAGAAGGGCTCACAACTGGTGAGTGCAGCAGTGGTGGAAGGAGCCTCTCCTGCCTCTGTGGCAGCACTAAGGATGTCCTCCTGCCAGCTTAGGCACGCTCCCTGTGGAGTGCGGGACTAAGCCGTCAGTTGGGAGTCCCCTGAGGGCTCCCGGACTGCGAAAGGGCGCAGGCCAGGCTGAGAGACCACCACCAGAGTGCACAAGTTTCGTGCACCGGGCCTCTAATATTGCTAATAATTCCACTTTTTGCTGCTTTTGTTCTTCCTTCCAACCCTGTCATTTCTAGGGCCAAGATATTGGTGTCAGAGGAACGTTTAAGGATTTTGATGCTCCCTTTGATAAAATAAACCTTCATGTTCGTGGCGGTTACATCCTACCCTGTCAAGAGCCTGATCAAAACACATTTCACAGGTAAACAAAGTGGTTACAGAACTCAGATTAAATTCTAAGATACATCAGCTAGAATTGCCAAGGATTTGGAAGGGTCTGAGATTCTACCCTAGTTCCAAGCTTACAAGTTAGCCTGCTAGTTTCATGGAGCTGAGTCAGAAGTGAAGAGCCTTTTTACTCATGGCATACCAAGAAATATGACCTTCATGTTTGCTTTAGTTTTCCCTGTCCCCAAGTCCCATGGGGGTGACATGAAGTGGCCTAAAAGATACTGCATATGCAGGAGGTTTGAGACACAGCTAAGGAACTCCAAGATCAAGGAAACTCAATTTTATTTTTGTTATCAACTGTAAACAAACCTGTGTATTCTTTGCTTTGAATTATTATAGTGGACAGTGATTTACAATTTTATTAAACACAGCCCTGTCTTCCAATACTGTTTGCTTTCAAAGCATCCTTTAAAGGATAGTAAAAAAAAAACCTGTCAGTGCCTCTATGTGTAAGATATGCAAAAACGTGAGAGACTCATGGGAAACGGTCTGAAAACATGATATTCCCTCTTACAGGAAGAACATTTACCAAACTAATATACCGACTAAAAGTTACTATCTTCTGTATGAATATGTAAAGGTGTTGACAATAAATGCCTAAGTTCTTTTTTTCCTGCCTCTGACATGTGGAAAGAAATACTATGAACATGATTTTAAGTGACCCATTTTTAACCTTTAAGCAAATATTGCTCAGAAGATTTCTCTGATCTTCAAGCTTGTCTTTTCCCCTTTCTCTGCCTCCTTCTTTCAGTTAAATATTCTAAGACTCACTTTAGTCAATGAAAATGTGGGTATCCATTGATGATTTCACAACTCCTTCAAATGCTAAGTCTACTGCTGCCCAGAGAAGAGCCAGATGCGTCTCTTAGTAGCCTTGTCCCACACAAAGTTAAAAGATGATTCAGATTTTTCTGTCCGTTGTCATTCATAACAGATTATCTGGCTAAGACTCTCCTCTCTTCTTCGCCCCAGAAACCCTTATTAGATCTGAATCAAATGAACACACAGTGAAAGAGAATTCAGTTATCCTGCCACAGTTGATTGTGGCATTTCCGCCCTGTCATTTGGCAATATGACCAGACTGTGTCTTCTGTGACTGCCACAGAGTCGGTTTCCACTGCCTGAATTCAGACTTACACATTCAGGTTCTAGAGGCTTTAGTCCCTCTAGCTCTGCTCTTTCCACACTGCATCCACTCTCTTGCTCATCTACATGCTCACAGCCCCAGTTAGCGTGAGCAGTCTCTTTCTATTTTCTGGAGCCATTTAGATCAGTTTGTATCAATATTCTACCTTGAGATCAATTAAAGATAAGAAAAATGATATTATGTGAAAAATGAGGGCTTCATGCAGGGGACCCAAGGTGTTCCTTGAAGAATCCTTTTTTATGAGAGAAAAGAGAGGCTATTCTGTGTGTGTGTGTTTGTGTGTGTGTGTGAAGTAAATAGGATATTGGTTTAGGTATATACAGGGTTAGGTAAAAATAGGTTTACAGTTGTGAACACGCAAAGCACAGAATTCATTCTTGTATTATCATCTACTTATTATTGTATTATTTTCCACATGAACAACTGTACAACTACTTTTGTCCCACCCTGTATACGGAGTAGAATGCAAGTTGTGAAATTCCTTTGAATCTGTTTTTAAATATGTTGGAAAATTTTTAAACCAGAGTTTTAATGTTGATTATAAGATATACTTATCTTCTACACCAGTAAACTGAATTAAAATACATGCATATATTCATGCTAAGACATGCTAATATTTGTACATGGAAAATATCAAAGTGCTATGATGGTATAAATTTTAGCTATTATGCTTTTTTAGGAGACTTCCATGGCAATACAGCCTTCAATGTTGGTGATTGGAAAGGCAGATAGTTAAGCATAATTTGTCTTAGAAATCTTTCCTACCTAGTATGAGGCTGTTAAACCAACTCTCTTGTACAGTGAGAATGGAAGCAGATATTTAGTTTCCAGACTGGCCTATGTAGCCACAAGCTTGAGAAATATTGTCCTCTCCAGTGGCAGGACTTACAACTTGCTGGCTACCCTCCACATTCTTTTTAACAACTGCCAATGATAACTCAGTGATTTATATATGGAAATGTGCGGAAGATATAAGACATAAGAGATAAAAAATGCTATAAAATTATTTCATGTTTAATGATCAATGACAGGATTACAGTAAGAGTAAATATGTTACTAAACTTAATATGGTTTTAATTATTATATATAAGGCCTCTTCTGATTTATTTCAGTAGGTGGACCCTTGAGACCAAAATACATGCATGGTATTTTTATTAAATATTAAAAATTTTATGGGTTATGCCATTCCCATAAACTCATAAGAAAAAGTAAATGCTTTACTTTCTTTGTCTAAAACAGTTGCATTCCCCTTAATTAATAGTCTTAGTTCATCTAACAATATTATTCAAAGCTAAACTAGTGTAATAAAGAGTTGAATCATTGTTTTAAAAAAATGTTACAAGTATTTAAAGAATTTCTCCTTATCTTAAATATAGTTCATCTCTATGGCAAATGGCTGGATAACTAGGAGATGTGCTTGTGCAGGGATTCTATAGCAATCATTTCTGTTCTTCTAGAAGCTATTCAAGTGATGCTCACATAATAGTCATTCACTATGTATGAGGTCAACTGGGCTGAAAAGCTGTGTTCCATGTGTATGCACTATTGATGCCTCTAAAACAGCGGTTCTCAACCTGTGGGTCGCGACCCCTTTGGGGGTTGAACAACCTTTTCACAGGGGTCACCTAAGACCATTGGAAAACACATATTGAATATATAATTACATATTGTTTTTGTGATTAATAACTATGCTTTAATTATGTTCAATTTGTAACAATGAAAATACATCCTGCATATCAGATATTTACATCACGATTCATAACAGTAGCAAAATTACAGTTATGAAGTAGCAACAAAAATAATTTTATGGTTGGGGGTCACCACAACATGAGGAACTGTATTAAAGGGTCGCAGTACTAGGAAGGTTGAGAGCCACTGCTCTAAAACATGAGATATTCCAGAAACAAAATTCAGGTTTGGTTCCAGGACTTTTAGCTATTTTATATTTTTTTGTTGGTTTTTAATATTCAGTATTTTGACATGAAAAATTTAAGGATTTAAACTTAAATCTATATTTACTTTATGACTGTTCCTCAAGACCAAACCGAACTGCTAAACTTTCAGCAGTGTGTGCTCTGCTGACCACTGTTATCAGAATCACCCGGGTAGTTTGTAAAGCATGATGATTCTGAAGAAGGTAAAGGGGGATAAATAGTGATGGAGGGAAACTGGGGGTGGCAAACACACAATACAATATACAGATGATGTATTGCAGAGCCATATACCTGAAACTTGCATAATTTTATTAACCGAGGTCATCCCAAAAAATTCAGTTAAAAAAAGAATGCAAATTATGGGGTCCATTCAAATTTCATTAATTTGGGAAAAGGCCCACGAATCTGTCTTCCAGTCAAATGTCCCCAGGTGGTCATCATACTGGTAGAGGATTAGATTTACAATGTGCTAGCTCTACTGGATAGGCATTTTGAATATTCTCTTAAAAACCTTACTCATAAAACTAACATCTGTGTGGAGCTGAAGTTCTCATGGGCTGCTCACTGTAATTTAAATAAATTATGCATAGATGAGAGATTTTTCATTATAGCAAAGACATGTATCTTTCATCATTTTAAATAAACCATAGTTAATATTCTGCAACCATAAGACATGGGAATCTGTTAGCAAATAAAATATATTAGGAAGTTGATATAAGAATCATGTGAAAATAATTTTATAAAGAATCATATGGTGGTTAGCAAGACTCTTACAATAAAAAAAAAATTCTCAGTATTTTATGATTTTGAGGTTGAAGAATCAGGGAGAATCCTATGTTGTAAAAGCCCTGACCATGAACACATTAACTGAAGTTCTACTAACCTTTATCCTTTGTTGCAGTCTTTGTTTGTTTTTCAAATACTGGAAAGTAACTGCAAATAATTTAGATATTCAGGCAAGCCAAATGGTTCTGGTCAATTAAATCCACTTTTTTTGTTATATTGTGTAATCTCACTACATTTGTTATAATCCTATATAATAAAAGGGAAATATGCAAATTGTCCCCTCCACTGGGAGTTCGACTGGGGGTGGGGCCAGCCTGCCAACAACTTGGGGCCCCTCCCCCAGCTGGCCCCACCCTTGATCAGCCCTCTCCCCCTCCAATCAGGGGCAGGGCTGGCCAGCCAACCTCCTGTGTCTCCTCCCCCAGGCAGGCCTGGCTCAATCAGCCCCGATGGGGGAGGGAAGGCCAGACCCCACACATGCATGAATTCATGCACCGGGCCTCTAGTTGAATATAAAGATTTTAAAAGTCCCCTGTAATTTCCTTAGAAAACAGCAGCAATACACATCAAATACTTAGAGTCTTTGGATTAGATCAGAATCTTCAAATAAGTTTTCTTCGTAAGCTTGCAATCTAGGTAATAAGCCTCCATCTAAACAGTTAAGTAATTCAGATTTTATGGAATATTATTATTTGCTGTCCTATTCTTTCTTTCAAATAAAATTAAAAAAAAATAAATCAAAACAAACTTATTCTGACACTTGTGTACATTAGCAATTTTCAGAGGATTACTGAATACAATGCTGGCATGTATAAGTGGGAAAGGGAATTAAAATGTAAAGCCTTTTCAATGTTATCCTAACACTTACTTGTTTCAATCATGCATTTGACTCTACTTTGACTTCTTGTCTTATGCTTGTTTGGTTTTACATAGAAACACAGTCTTCTCAGTTGGGGAAACTGGACTTGATTCCAGACCTTGATAATGAAGATGGCCGTAAACTTAATGATGGGTCAATTTAGGATTTTTTAGCTTTGTAATGGCGCCAAAGGAATGCACATTCGGTAGAAACTTTGAATTTTGATCCATTCCTGTGCTAGTGATAGGCTGAATGATATTCTCTTGTGATGCTGGGCAGCAGCACAGAGGCACAGCTCCCAGGATCAGGAGGGTAAACAACCCCTACTCTGCAGTATATTGTGTTTTGTGTTTTCTGTATTCAATACATTTTAAAATGCAACAATTAATTATAAACTGGATTCTGAGTTAGGTGATTTTGCCCAACAGTAGACTAATGTAAGTGTTCTGACTATGTTTAAGGTAAGCTGGGCTAAGTGAAGATGTTCATAGGTTAGATATATTAAATGCATTTTCAGGTTACTATATTTTCAATTTCTAATGGATTTATTGGGATATAACCACATTGTAAATAAAGGGGCATCTGTAATTAATTGTTTCACTTTTGGCTATTTATTTAACTTCTCTGGAACTTGCTTTCTTCAATATAGTGGGAATGATAATATATATTTCAGAATAGTGTGATAAAATACTTAGATAGTAAGCATTCGCTATACATTATAGCAATGACAGTAATTTTTAAATTAGTTTTAAACACGGCAGAATTATATTTTATATACAGACATGGAACCATTTATGGTGACTCGTCCTTCACATTTTAGTGTTGCTGGGACTGTTTGAACAAGTTAAATATAATGCAATGATGATTTGAGTGCCCTTTATACTGGGAAAGTAAAGAAAAATATACTAGTTTTGCTATTCTTCTTCTTTGGAAATATAAATATATCACTTTTAATTTTCTTTACAGGCACCTATGAAAAGGACCTATATTTTTTGGCACAATTTAATTTGAACAAGGTATGTATTCATTTCAGATCATTTATGTGCAATTTTGTTAAATAATATTTGAAGTTGCATATCACACTTTATAATTATTTTGTATTTAAATATTTTTATATTTGGTGTTTAATACGCTTTATTTCAAATATATGAATAAACAATTTTCTGTACTCTGGAATATATTTTGGTTAACAGATATATATATATTTTTTAAAGTTTAAATTGTTTTTTTTTCAAATGAAGAATTTAAATTATTTCTTTGTCTTTGTAGACCACCTTGACAAGCACTATATTGAAAAAGGGTTACGGAAACCCAAATGAAATGAGGCTTGGATTCATCAATATATGGGGAATAGGAAAGACTCCTGTTAATAAGGTTAATCTCATATACAACGGAAATAATGAGTCACTTAGATTTACTCAAGAACCAGATAAGCAGGTAAGTGATATTAAGAACATGGTTTTTTAAATGGAGCAATTTTAAATATCTACATAGATGTATTTTATTTCTCAGCCTAAGAAACATAATTATGTGACAACTATAACCATTCTTATTCATTTATTCTTATTGAACTTCCATATTTATTTTCATATTATCATCCTTGATAACCTGTCAGACAAGTCAATTTAATGGTATTTATTTTAAAATTGTTTTAACATATTAAACCAAAATTATATTTTACCTTAAACCTCTAAATCATTGTCATCCATGAATGATAAAATGCCTCAATTATTTTCCCCCCAAAATAAAATATCTTCATTTCAATTTTTAATATGTATTAGATAATATATATTTGAAAACTCTTGCAAAATTAATAAAATTGTTTATCAGCACTAATGAATAATTTGACATGTTTATAAAACTATAATTCATAGATGAAACAAGAATTCAACATTTTTATGTTAAAATTCCATTACTGCCAGTAATCAGCCTTTTATTTTGAACAAATAATTTTAGGCTTTTTTTTTCTTTGTAATAAATTAAGAATATGCAAGGAAACAATCTTTTAAACTCCTTCCAATCCTAAATTGCACGAATCTATGTCTTATAAAGGTTGATTTAAAAAAAAATATATTCTAGACACCAACTAACTATTGTGATTGTTTGATCTAAGTTTAAGTCTTCATCTGCACCACTAAAACTGTGTATATGTGCACATATCCGTTTGTTTAGAGTTGAATGGAAACAACTACCTATTAATCAACCAGTCTCTCATGTGAATTTAACTTACACAATAGCCAGTTATTTGACTGACTTCAACTTAAAGTCTAATAATTTGTGTCTGGGACACAGTGTTAGGTCCTCATAAATTTTATAGAGTGTGAGAATTAAACATCACCTGAGGGGCCATTTTACCCAAATAAAATTATCCTATTGTTACTGTTGTTTTGTAGTCAAGTGGGTTTTCCCCTTTAACATGAAACTACCTTAATTAAAATACTTAATTTAAATAATTTTATTTCTTTATATTATATAAAGTTTAGAAAATTGGAGTTGTGTATACTTGGTATTCTTCATTGGTAAAATAAAAATTGATATTCAAGAGCCTCACTCTAATTTTTCTTCTTTTTAAAATTTTACTGGTTTTTAAAATTCCAGTGGAAGGGAATCACTGGTTTAGTCAGTGGTCTTACATGGCAGACCAAGAAACAATCCTGCAAAGAAAAATTAATTCCCTAGGAGTAAATATTCAACACTTACCAGTCACAATTTGAAATCAGTTTTGTTGAACTGCCTAATGTTCAACAGATAAAAAAAGGATGGTCTGCCTTACATGTTTTCTCGCTCTTTATATACTACTATAATGGTGAAAAGTAAAGCTCATGATTTTTACTATAAAAATAAACTAAACACAGTCAGCTGAACAGTGTTAAATATTTTAGCATGTCAAGTATTATTTCAAGTTTATTTTGACCAAATTCTTGGCATAAAACATACTATTTATAATGAAAAGTTCCTTCCACTGTACTCAAGGATATTCACACAAAATTTTAAGTACTAAGAATAACATTTTTACAATTTTTTATTACCTCAGAATTGCAAAAGAAGATATTATTTTGATTAATATTGGAGCATCTCCTTCAAGAACACTTAAATAAAACAAATATTTATGAGCACCTACCATTTTCCGAACCTTTGTAAATATATGGGGAAAGAAGAGAGTAGTCAATTTCTCTCTCTGCCTGGTTTTTCTTCTCCATGGGTGTGGGAATTACATGCAAAGGATGGTTTAATTGCCATATAAATACATTTTTATATCATTTTCCTAGTAATAGTCATGCCTAGTTGCCTTTTGTACAAGTATTAACAGCTATGTGATGTACTTACTGCTTTTCACTTTGATATTAAAAGAACAAGGTTAGCCCTAGCCAGTTTGGCATTGGCCTGGGAACCAAAGGGTCCGGGGTTTGATTCAGGTCAAGGGCAAGTACCTTGGGTACAGGCTCTTCCCGACCCTGGTTTGGTCAGGGCTTGTGCAGGAGGCAACCAGTCAATGTGTTTCTCTCACATGGATGTTTCTCTCTGTCTTTACCTCTTTCTTCCATTCTCCCTAAAAAAATCAACGGAAAAATATCCTCAGATGAGGATTAACAACAACAACACAAAAGAGAACTAGGTTAGGTTGTGATGTAGGATGGATCGGTTTCAAATATAAGTAGTGCATATTAAGAAAGTTATTCAACGATTGCCTTTCTAAACTCTTCTACTCTAAATTGTGGGAAATAAATCCTAACATGCTGGGCTTTGGTGGATAATAAATTTTATAAAGCCTCGAGGAGAGCACCTGGTATTCAGTAAGTACTAAGGAAAAGGTGACTCTCTTCATCCTCTCTTGCACAAGTGATGATTGAACCCAAGTTTTCTGAGCTAAGGCACAGAGTATTGGAAACAAAGCAGCCATGTTTACTGACATCATCATACAAAACTGTCACAGCTGATTACTTGTGCTCAAGTGCTTAATTGGTCACCTCCAAAATTAGTCCCTACGTGGTCTATTTGAGATTCTCTCCCATGAAAAAGAGTTACACACACAAAACTGAAATAATTGGTAATAAATTCAGCATTCTAAAGCCTTTTTAGTTTAATGTCAAAGAAACTTATTCCTAATCTAAATTTTGTGTGTAGATGGCTAGATAATATTTGAGGGTAGGAAGCATAGAGATTTATGTAGTGCAAGTATGAATAACTGAATATGTAGGACTCGTGGAGAAAAAGTAAAGTAATAGAATCATTATAATTGGTTAATAGTCTTAGTTGTTCACCTTCTTTTGAGAACCATCCCACCACCCTGGGATTTATTTCATCATCTGAATAATGGGTAAGTTGGGTGAAATTATTTCTGAAATGGTTGTGAAATCTCTGGAATAAAAGATTCACCAAAATGAAAAATAAAGTATACCTTCTTTACTTAGAATAAATTTATTTATTTATGGATAAAGTTTTTATTGAAGTAATGGTTCTGATTAAACAATTAATTGCCATTTTCCTTTTTTAGATATTAAATATCAATATGACAATGAATAATGTTATTCTCAATGAACCAATAGTAATCAACTGGTCCTGAAGATCATCGTCAATTCCAGTTGCCAAAGGGACATTAACATCTGGATTCACATTTTACCATACTTATAAGCTTTCCTCTTCATTGGTTTCTTACATTGTGTAAAATATGATTTTCATAAGATCAATCTAAAGTTATTATACAAATTGAATGCTGAAAATTGTGACAAATGAATAAATAATAATTTTGTTATATTAATGTGGCCTGGAATCAATTTTTAAACCTGTTTAATAGGATTTAAATAGTTCCATTACCCTTGCTAAGTATCAGTTAAAACACCACATTTCCACCAATAACATTAGGTTATGAGATCCTTTCACATTTCAAGAGACTGACTCAGGCACTAGGCTTTATTGTTTGTGAAGGGGGATAAAATGCACAGGTAAGTCAGAGAGCGTAAGAAAAAAAACAGGAAGAACAGGCAGAATCATTAGAGAATTATCACCTTTTAATAGTCTGTCACACTCTTAATCCCCCTTTTTATGACTATCTTTATACAGAAACTACCAATAGCTTTTCTTCTCCAACTTTTGCCTCTGTGCACTCATGGCTTCTATGTCCCACCTTCTCTTTAGATTTCTTGTTTTCAAATCCAAAGAAAAATGGTGTTACCTATTGTTTTGTTCATCTGTTACTATGGGAAAAATCATCCCCGATTTTTAAAATCCAAAACAACAATTGTATTATCTTTCATGGATTTATGAGCCTTTGTCTGCTGTGTCATGTGGTGAGTCAGATGTAGGTTGGGACTGGAGATATCTGAAGATTTCATTGGCTAGAAATTCAAGATGCCATCTTCACTTACACTTGGTGTATCACCAGTTATCCTCTAAGAGTCCCTTGACAGTTGATTTTCTTGGACTTATTATGTGAAAGCTCAGAGCTCCGAAAGGCAGGAATTGATAAAATTTGTAAAAACAGTCACTGACCAAGCCAGGTTCAAGGAGGTGAAAAAAATAGATGTTCTCCATGGAGGTATGGCAAATTAATGTCAACATCTTTGTAGACAAGCTATAAGATCTTTGAGTTTAATATTCTTTTGCTCCAGCTTTCTTTTTCTTCATTTTGCCTCATTGTTAGTACTGAAAAATCTTCATTGCTTTCCAAGTATTAATATCACTTGGATTTATATTCAAAGAAATATATATGTATATATATATATATATATATATACACATGATTCCACTTTTAGTAAATTAACCTGTACTTAACATATCTACCAATCATCCCACTGAATAATTTGAAACTAAAAAAAGTAGAATAACACAAAAATATAAAAGCACAAAGATGATTCTGTGCAAGTTAAATCTGAGCTATATAAATATTTTTTGCACATTTCTGTTTTCCTATAAATTTGCCCTTCATGTAGAATATGAAATTAAGCCATAGCCAACGATTTTCCTCTGATTATTAGGTTATTAAAAATGGAAATTTTTGACATAAATATAATTAGTGGTTGGTTGCTCCATAGCTTAGAAAAATAGGATTTTTAATAAATAGAAAAATAATTTTCTTTTTTTTTTTTAATTTTGAGAAAGCCATGCTAGGTGAGAAAAAATTCAAGAATAAGGAAGTTGCAAACTCATTGGTATCATGGTCTCTGCAGGAAACAAAATAAGTTTAATCTAGTCTATCAGAAGTTATTGTTTAATTACATCAAAGTTGTGCGAACAGCTGCACACAGAGGACCCTTCCTGGAGAAAGTTTGGGTCGGTTAGGAAATGTGAGATGCATCTTTTGAGCAGTTAAAAGATTTCAGAGGAGATGGAGGAGCTTTTACCTTTTGTCATTACAATTATTATGGATGGGTATGTCAAAATTGGTAAGGGTGCCTAACATTAGAGAGAACAAAACGTTATATGATTAGCCCGTAATGTTTTATTTTTCAAGATACAACTCTTCAATTACAGAGTTGAAGTTGACAAACTAATCAATAAACAAATCCTCTCTCCGCCTCTCTTGAGAGCATGCGGATTATTTTATAGTGACAGAGTACAACAGTTGGCAGTTGCTCATTTATCTGGTTTTCCTGATTTTCATATCTTACAAAATATCTTTTGTCTTTCTCAAACTTTAAGTATTTTTCTCCTTACAGTATCTTTTGAGTTGTAGGACTTTCAATTCCAAGACCAAAGGATTAACTATTTGATTGAAAGGCTTATAATTTCAAGTCATACATAATATATCAAGTTGAAAATGGAACAAACTTATATCCAGCTGTCCAAACAATTTTCAGAATTTCTGAAAGATCTAAGAATATACAATAAGTTATATGAATAAGAAGCAGAAGAATAAAAATTTTATAAAAGAACACACTTCAATTTTGCAAATTTGTTGAAGCTTTTCTCCTATGACATGTTATTTATATGTTCTTTAATATCACCTGAGTAAATATTTTAAGCCTCTTTGACATAACTTTCTGTTTACTATAGATATGAATATTGGTTTACTCTTTATATGAATTTATCATATGTGGAGACCACTAACATCATTTTACTTTAAACATGAGACTGCAACTGGAAATGAAAACACATAGTCCTATACTTTGTCCTTATTAACCAGTACCTCATTCTTAATAAAAAGTTTGGAAAAATTATAACTCAGGTGAAATTTATACTTGAAATATGTGAATATGACCTATTATGCAAAAAAGATAATCTCAATAAAGGTATATAATAATTATTTGGAAAAGATTATAAGGATTACAATAATTATTTGGAAAATAAGATTAGCATTTGCCATATATTTATCTTTAAATTTCAGTTGATGTATTTAAGCAAAATGTGAAACACTATCAATATATAGAGATTATAATAAGGCAAATCCTGAGAATTTGGAATTAAGATTGTCTCTAAAATTAGCATACTGTCACAGACTTTTATTTCTCAACCCCCTAACTCTTCTCCAAGCCTTAACACACTTTAGCTTCACAGTCAGCAAACGCCAAGATCTTCAACTTCTACAAATGCCCCAAGCAAAACATTTTCTTTTCCTCAGTTGAAGCCTGGCTGATGCCTTGATGCCACTATTTCTCCAGCCGTTTATTATTTCAAACTTCAACAACTTTAAGCTCCAGACCAGATCTTTATTCAACTCTACCCTTTTCAGTAGTTCCTTGGACATCTCACACGCACGTCCAATATGACTTTTCAAAACTGCGCTCCTGCGCTACTGAGCTCCACTCCTCAAGGCCACTTTAATTGCCAAACTAGCTCTTCATCTAGTGACTAGATTCTAGTCCTTTATATTTCAGAATATGACCCCACTATTCATCTAATACTTCATATCAAATTTTTGGGTCTTGTCTTTGACAGTGGTTTCTCCTTTATACCTAAGATCTAATGTGTCAATTATAGGTCTTAAATCTTTTTTTTTTTCTGCTTTTCATCCCTCCTGCTACCATCATAGTACAAGCCATTGTGTGGATCATAGGAAGCACCACCATAACCCATTACTTACTCAGTCTCCCACAATTTCCTCAATTCCTCTACGCTCTTTTAAGAAGTCAGTGTCTGTTTGCTTGTTTGTTTGTTTTTAAATAAGAACCCAGACCTAGCTGGTTTGAGTGTCAGCCTGCAGACTGAAGGGCCTCAGGCTTGATCCCTGTCAAGGGCACATGGCCTGGTTGTGGGCTGGATCCCCAGTAGGGGGTGTGTAAGAGCCAGTCAATCAATGGTTCTCTCTCATCATTGTTGTTTCTATTCCTCTTTCTCCCCTTCCTCTCTGAAATCAATAAAAACATATTTTTAAAATAAAAACCCAAATACATCTTGATTAGCATCATATTTGCCCATCAATGCCTTCCCTTTACTCTTAGGGTGGAATTAAAGCCTTAACATGTGACCAAGGGGTTCTTGATCCACTTACCCTGTGTCACACTCTCTTTAACTCTCTCTGCTTCAATTACACTCACCTTCTTTGTGTTCCAAGAAATGCCACCCTTCCTCCCACTTGAGACATTTGGACGTGATATTCCTTTTGGACACTTCTTGTTCTCCAGGTCTAGACTCCCCACCTCCTTTAGGTCTTTGCCCATCGTCACCTTCTTAGCGACGTTGTCTCTGACCACAACCCTGCACTCCCTACCTCCCCCCGCCATGGTTTCTCTTTAGCACTCATTGCCATCCAGCACCTATAAATGGTAATTACGTATGGTGTATGACCTGTCTCCCTATCCCCAGAATGGGAGCTCTTTGAGAACAGGGCTTTGTCTTATTTGTCCCTAATTCCTAGAAGGGTGCTTGTCAGTGAATAGACACTCATTAATATTTTTGGAGGATTAATTGATCTTAGTTAACTCTCCTGACAGCACTTGAAGTTCATATTTTTAATATGAGAAAATTGGCTGTTAAGGTCAGGCAGCAAGAAAACGGCAGAGCAAGGATTAGAATCTCAGCTGTTTGGCTGCAAAGCGTTCTGGTTTGATGTCCTCACATGCACTCGCATGAATCCGGAGTGGCAGAAAATAGCGTTTCCTCCAATAGAATGGTTATTATGTTACATGAGCATTCCTGGGGAACTCCATTTCCCCGTTTGCATCTATTTTAAAGGATATAGCTCACAGGGAAACAGTCACCAGTATTATTTACTTTGGCACTAATGGATGTCTGCATTTATTTAGGCGTGTGTGTGGCAAAATCTAGCTGACCCCAAAGCATTCTCACCCCTGAAACATCAAAATACAGGAAACATTTGCATTAGACATACTGAAGATATGGATGCTTCTTTTTTCATTTTAACACATCCTAGCAGATGTAAATAGGTTTAGCATGGGATTCAGAAATTGTTAACTTTTCAAATATACTTTTCCTTAAAAGGAAGAAAATTTCCGTTGCTAGGAGCAATGTTGTAAAATGAAAACTTTGGAAATTGCATGCTACGTTCTATTTTTATAATAGTGAAATCCCTGCAAATACCCAAACACTGTCACTGCCACCTTCCTAAAAACTAACATAGCAAAAAACTTGGTACATTTGCTCAAACACAAGACCAAAATGACCATA